CATATCATCTTGGCTTGTTTAATAACATAATCTTGTGACATTAATCTCCTCATATCATCTTGGCTTGTTTAATAACATAATCTTGTGACATTAATCTTCTCATATCATCTTGGCTTGTTTAATAACATAATCTTGTGACATTAATCTCCTCATATCATCTTGGCTTGTTTAATAACATAATCTTGTGACATAAACTCCTCACATCATATATGGTGGATGATGACGATCTAAAACTTGACAATGTCATAATACACTCAAACGTGTTCAAAAGGCCATCTATCCAAGACAATCACTTGTTCACATGACCACTTCCACCCTTGGTTAAAAAAACAAACAAGAGATGACACTAAGACATCCACCTGCCCACCTGCCGATCACTTTTCTCCTTCACAAAGTCTTCGGCAATTTCGGCTGTGCCTTAACAAATTGTTCACCATGTCAGGGGGGAGGAGGATGAGGATAAGAAGGGGGGGGGGGGGTAATAAACTGTGGTGAGGACGAGGTAGATAAAAGTGTACAGATGAAAGACAGAAAAATCAGATTAGTACGGACAGGCCAGAGAGAGAAAAACGAATCAGCTTGTAACTGATACAAGTTATGAAAACATTTGTGGCAGCAGAGAGAAATAGAGTGGCCGTGAAACTCTCCAGAGAGCAGTGGTATTGCTTTCTATGACAGGACGAGAGCAGTGGTATCGCTTTCTATGACAGGAAGAGAGCACTGGTATCGCTTTCTATGACAGGAAGAGAGCAGTGGTATCGCTTTCTATGACAGGAAGAGAGCAGTGGTATTGCTTTCTATGACAGGAAGAGAGCAGTGGCATTGCTTTCTATGACAGGAAGAGAGCAGTGGTATTGCTTTGTATGACAGGAAGAGAGCAGTGGTATCGCTTTCTATGACAGGAAGAGAGCAGTGGTATTGCTTTCTATGACAGGAAGAGAGCAGTGGTATTGCTTTGTATGACAGGAAGAGAGCAGTGGTATTGCTTTGTATGACAGGAAGAGAGCAGTGGTATTGCTTTCTATGACAGGAAGAGAGCAGTGGTATTGCTTTCTATGACAGGAAGAGAGCAGTGGCATTGCTTTCTATGACAGGAAGAGAGCAGTGGTATTGCTTTCTATGACAGGAGACAACAAAATCTATTGGTCACAATAATATAACACAATAATATAAAGTTGAGAATATCCAACCAGCTGTTAACTGGCACCATCAGCAGGCAGACCATTTCATGAATCCTGGAGAGGAGGGGGGAGCAGCTATGGCATTGTGCTGCCTGCAATGATGCCTATTCTCCCACCAAGTACCAAGTAACTCTATCAAGACAAACTACCTGTCTCGCCTCCTGGCTCATGACTTTGTTCAGCAATTTCAAAAGCAATGTTGGTGCCACAGGGTTTAAACTGTAGAAACAAAAGGCAATTATTTTTTTAACCTGACAGCTGTAGTGTTTGAGGTTCTAGAAAAGTTCAACACACTACAAATCTACAAAATGTCTTCCTTACTTGTACGTTGACCAATAAAATCTAAGTGTCACTTACAAGAATTCTAATTCATTCAGGTAAGACGTTCTACCAAGGTAACTTGCATTTTAAGTAGCATTTCTCCCTCACCTGGCCTTTGCTTCTGGTGTCAAAGTAGTTTTGATTTGTCAATAAATAATGACTCTCAGTCTCATTTGTGTATTTTCAAAAGGGAGCCAAACATTTGTTCAAGGGGCATCCTTTTATAGAAAGAGCCACAAAGAGATTCGAAAAAGAAGAGTGGTACAGGAGACAAGCAATCATTTCTAAAAGAGACAGGCACTTATTACACTATAGCTTTTGTTGGGGAAGAGTTGTTTTTCAACTTTCCTGTGCCATGATGAAAAATCAATGACGATAAAAGCTAAGTAAATAAAATATATCTTCATATTGAGTGATAAGCCTCTTATGAAACAATTCCTAATGTAGTCTGTGGCAGTGAATGTCTAATTGTAGGTCTCACAGTTAACCTTTTCTTCTTTTCAATGATATTTGGAAGTAGGAATTCTTATTAATCAATTTTTCCATCTCAGGAACTTGTGAACAGAGCAGGAGAACAGACCATTTGATGCGAAAGGAATCGTAAATTCCGAGAAGTGTCCCTGTCCCATGATAGAAGTGGAGAGTCAAGGAAAGCACAAAGACATTACAAGGATCCAAACTGAACTCCTTACTTTCCTGCCTGACATATCAAAGCAACAATTTACATTGAAAACTTTACAATATAAAATGATAAAACACATAATTCCAACTCTCCTACAAGGAAGATTTATATCCAAGAACAGGCATTTGACCAATCTTCTGACCTTATGCTGACCACTCCAAGCTGGTGTTGAAGATCTTTGGGAAAGAGTTTCTGTACACTGGAGGTGCTGCTGGTAGAGTCACTCATGATAAACACAATAGGACTGTGGCCAGAATAATGGTATTTCCTGGTGCAAGATAGAAACAGCACACAGAATTCATTTGTCAAGCAAAAACTTGGCTTAAAATTAAGTTGAATTTACTATCAGAAACCGTTTTAATGGGCTAATGAATAAAAACATCTCTTCATGGATAAATGTGACACATCAAAGACATAATCAAACATAATTACAAAGAAAATGTAGAAGCCTGTTATTACTAAGCTTTGAAGGGAAAATGGTCAGTTGCTTTTGATTTAACACACTTTTTAACACACTTGTTTGATTTAACACACTTTTGATTTAACACACTTGTTTGATTTAACACACTTTTGATTTAACACACTTTTGATTTAACACACTTTTGATTTAACACACTTGTTTGATTTAACACACTTTTGATTTAACACACTTTTGATTTAACACACTTTTGATTTAACACACTTGTTTGATTTAACACACTTTTTTGACCACCGAAAGGAGACCAGAAAGTAATCTTATTTTGCTACAACATTAACTTCTTCGTGTGTGAACCATTTCCCACACCACTGAATTAAACTACTGCCCTATTCAGTAAAAACAAAACTGACCTCATTACCATTCGATCCCTTGGGGATACAAAAATGACTAGCACAAAAAGTGCCATCTCATTGTCTCCAAAAATCCATCAATATAGTCCAGGCTTGAAGAAAATAAAATTGGCAGAGAATGATTTCCCAGTACAAAACAAGAAAAGGAAGAAACACCATCCAAAACTATGGCTTCAATAGATAATTCACTAAAAAGAAAAACCTTCCGTCTTGACGTGGGAATCTGATGGCAATTCACAATGACATCAATTAGGGAAACAATAAAGATGAGAAATAACAAATTGATAGAAAACATATATGAAAACAAAAAAATAGAAAAACTTGTTTTAATTTTTGTAAATATCAATTTGAGTTTGTACGCCTAGTTTACTTGACTTTACTGACCCAGCAGCCATTTGACGTCTTGGCCTTCAGTCTGTCCATGTGGCAAAGAATGTACAGGTATTTATCAGCTGTGTTTTGTCGCTGTATAGAGCATTTCCGATGTGTGGGGAGGCAGGTAGGTAGGTGCTACGCAGGTTGCTCAGTGCAGGGCAGGTAAAGAGGTGGTGTGGTACTGTTTCATCCTGGCAGTCACACAGCGGGCAGTCGGGTGGGGTATCTTTGCGGATCCTATTTAGGGAGGAATTTAGTGGGATGTGTTGTGTTCGCAGGCGAAAGATCGTGACTTGTTCTCTTCTGCTCAGGGAATGTCGTGCAACTTTAGAGTTGGGGGCTGTCATGTGTGCAAATACAGTTCTTCCAGTTTTGCCCATTGCCCATCCATTGAGCCACTGTTCCCTGGTGTTGCATTTGATGATGTTCTTGGCTGTCTGTTGTGATACTGGGTTGTGTGGTTGTGTTTGTGATGCTCCCTTCTTGGCAAGGGTGTCTGCTCTGTCGTTTCCTGGGATGTTGTTGTGGCCAGGTATCCACTGTAGTGTCAGGTCGACGGCATAGGTCTGTAGGAAGGTGTTGATTGTTTCAGATAAGCAGGCTGGGCATTAGAAATTTATGTTTTCCAAAGCTTGGAGTACTGATTTTCCATCTTTGAAGATAAAAGGGTCCTTGATTTTGTCTGATGAAATTGTTGGTCAGGTGGAGGATTGCTGCTTCAATGGCGATTGCCTCAGCCTCGTAATTTGTACAAGAAGTACCACATGCATCAAATAGCTCTTCACATGTTTTGTCAGGATGTTCAATTCTTACCCCAAAGCCTGCGTTTATAGTTCCCTTGAAGGCTGACCCGTCTGTATAAATATGAATTGAATCACTAGGGTAGGAGTCAATTGTCTTCAGAGCTGTTGTCTTCAGTTCTTCTGGGTCACATTCCTTTTTCACTGTCTCTTTTATGAGGGAGGTTTTGATGTTGGCATTCTTGATGTTAGTGTTTGGGGGGAGTTCTGGTCTTAAAGGTTTCAGCATTTCTCTGTTACATGGAAGATGGTGTTTTTCTGCTAGTTCAGTGGCTGTGTCAAGTATTGATCTTCCATGAATCTGTTTCTTCTGTCGTCTCTGTTCAATGATTTTCCTGTTTGGGTGGTTTTTCTCCAGTCTTTTGTAGCGCTCACTCATCTCCACAACTGCTGCCTCTCTCCGCAAGTCCAGGGGTTCCAGGTTCGTGTGGATTTCACAAGCTGCAGTTGGAGTGGATCTCAAAGCTCCGGAGATAAATCGTACAGCTTGGTTCTGGATTTTGTCAAGAGACCTCTGAGTTGGTTTGCTGCAGATTGTCTGTAAGGTTAGGTTATATTGCATGGCAGATCGTACATAGCCAACATATAGCTGTCTGAGTGCATCCTTGTCCGCTCCCCATGAAGTTTGCCTGCATAGCTTCAAAGCTGGCAAAAACTCTGCAGCTCTCAAATTAGGACTTGAACATTGAGAACCTGCAAGAAAAATTCATTTTGATTTTGTGTGGGTTATTTTAATGAGGTCTAGCAGACCGTAAGCTTCTGTAAACAAACCTTACTCACCTGAGTATGTTATGGAACTGTGGAGGGTCCCGGAAGAAAACATTGGGCATATCTTCCACAAGGACAGTGGTGGAGTGACAAGCTGAATGACCTCTGACATTTCCTCCGTCTGACTCACTGACATGACCAGCAGAGCCCATTAGCTCCAAAGCAGGATACTTGTTGGCTCGCACAAGGAAATTGTGGAACTGGGAACTCTGGGACTGGCTCATATAAACATCAACTCGGGACTTTTCTGGAAACAAAAAAACAACATAAAAACTAAAGCAAAACATAAATAACCAACAACAAAAAAGTTAAAACGTCATTTCAAAAGCTAATTGGAACAGCTAAACCCCCAAATTGTAATGTACATTGACCTCAATACAGTCATTCTACATAAGTTCATATTAAAGACAAAAGATCTCTTTTACAGTGGGTGTCGCATTCAACGAGGTTGCCGGGACCAGCTTGTTGTCCTCCTTGGATCCGACCTCTCATTGAACGTGACTGAGGCGAAAGTAAAGAAAGGAGACAAGTTATTATATTACAGGACGTACCAATACCAGGAATTACAACAGTTGTTCCCCCTGGTGACGAAAATCTCAAACAGCATCAGTGTGCGCATGTTTGAGCTGCGTTCTGACCGTCATTTCTGCATTTTAAAATATTTTTTTCGCGGAACACTTCTCGTGTGGAAACATACCCTCTCACATCTAGGCCTAGATCTACTTAAAGTAAAGGCGGGAGCTCGGATTTTCTGATCAGGGGAAGAAAAGAAAATTGTAAAAATGAAGGTCTCGATCTAGATCTACCCATCAAGAGTTCTTCCAGTTTCACACAGCCCGCATCGCGTTCCCACCTACCCCCTCCCATCCCTACCGTAGGCTAACCCTCGCCCATCCTCTTGGCTTTGAGGCCCATATTAGGAGGCACACAAGATCTAGCAATACACTGTGTTAGGAATGGAGGATGGGCCTTGTGCTTCGCGTGAGATGGGGAGAAAGGAGAAAAATTCTTCTCTTTTGCGGCCGCTATTTGCTTTTGTATGGTTATCGCGACCTCGTTGAAAGCGACTTCGGTCTGTTTGCAACCTCGTTGGAGCTGACGTACATTTACAAAGAGATATAGAGGAATAAATCGGGGATAAAGGATTGTTTCGTTGGAGCCGACTTCTCGTTGAATGGGACCTCGTTGAATGTGACACCCACTTACTATGGCTCAACACTGTTGAAACAGAGGCTAACTCAAATATAATATAAAATTTAAAAATACCCCCAAAAACCAGTTGGCATTGTGAAATCAAACAATTCATTAACTCATTCGCTACGTCGAGCTGTGGGGGGCGGCGCTGCTAAAGTGCCGTCAGTACACTAAGCCGCCCCCGGCGGCTCGAGAACCAATCTTCAATTTTAGCTTAGATTGTATTCCAATCCATATATCCATGTTAAATTAAAGGTCATAATATAATGTTGACTTCCGGGTCAAGCATTTCCACTGAAAATCGGAAATATAGATTCAGTTTTGAAACGCGATTTCGCAGTTTAAACGACTTTGTTTTATCGCGATGCCAAAATTATAGCCCGGACACCAGTCTTAGTAATTTTACGCAACAAAATCTATCATTATTTTGCCCACTAAAGAAATGTAGGACTCTTTTTTATAATATTGATACGATTGGACTCAAATTGCCAATGCACTGCTATTGAGAAATCAATATTTTTGAGTGCTAGATCTAGGTCCAGATCTAAATTGTCAAAATATTTTTTTCTCCCCAAAATCACTACTTTTTGATGAAATTACACAAAAAGTGCCACTCAAGACATGTATAAGTTTATTCCAAATGCAATTCTGAATAATTCCATATAAGATACGAGTGTTTTTTTTTCTGTTTGTGATCGTTTTTCAAGATTATAAAAAAAAATTTTTTTTTTCAATATCGGACGTTATGTTCAAAATGTACAAATATTATGGAATGTAGGTAAATAACTGCAAACTTTTCAATATTTTCCAGTTCTATATTCATTTATGGTTATTATGATGTATTATTTGACTAGGTGCAAACATATTTTTTGCGTTTCACCAAAGAATATTAATTTTTTATTTTCAAATTTTATCTGCATCCAATCAAAATTATGTTGCATAATCGTCCCTTACAGGAACCAAAGTTGAAAAATACATAAATAAACATTACAGATGTATTCTACAAACCATACTGAAAATATTGGTATATAATACGTTGATATTTATTTGAATTTGTGGCCCCAAAGACCTGTGAACTGCCCACTAGTCATCATCTCATTCGCCCTCCCGATAAATAATTTGTCCACAAGCCAAAAATACTACGTAGCGAATGAGTTAGGAAGAGTAGTAAGCAAAACAAGGTAGCGTGTAAATGTCAGAGGTTTTCACGATTATACTCACTGAAGCAAAACAAGGTAGCGTGTAAATGTCAGAGGTTTTCACGATTATACTCACTGAAGCAAAACAAGGTAGCGTGTAAATGTCAGAGGTTTTCACGATTATACTCACTGAAGCAAAACAAGGTAGCGTGTAAATGTCAGAGGTTTTCACGATTATACTCACTGAAGCAAAACAAGAAACGTTCACACTACAGAAAAATACACCTAACAAATAGTTCAAATCAATTAGCATCAGAGAATCAAGCCTTCAAGTCGGACCAGGGCAATAGACAAAATTCCTTAAACACTAGCATGAGGCACAACTCTTCCAAAGGTTTTTTTTTTAAATGTACATTTCTATATAAAGAACAAAGTCAGTACATGACACTGACTTTGGCGCACCATCTAATTAAGTCCAACAGCTGTGCTTCAGTTCAGCCTTTGAAACAAGCTATTGGATTCTAACCAGAAATTAAATAAAAGTCGCATCAAACCTGAGCGATGAAAATCCTCCCCTGACCACTGGTCCGCGACCTGCTCCAGATTGGTCACCCACTCTTGCACATCCATGCCCAGCTGAGCACACAAAACTTGGACGCAGGCGGTTTTCCCAGAGCCAGGGGGGCCGGTCAAGAGCAATATTGGAGCAGCATGCTACGGAGAATGCCAAACAAAATCAACATTTTCGGGGGATGATTTTAAACAGCATCAGAGTAGCTGTACAACCAAATACTGTCTCAAGTCAGAGAGACACAAAAGTGCATGATCAGACTAGGCACTCAACACAAATTTCTTTTCATAAACGCAGCTTGAAATGAATTATTCCAGTCTGAAAATTTTTCTAATCAAAGCATTTTGATACCAAAGAGATCACCCATCGGTCCGTCGGTTGCAGCAGCAGCAAAATGGCAGATACACCGGGTTTTCTTCACACAAACGCACGTATACAAGATAGCATTTGTCAAACACATCAGTGGGACAAAAGAAACATCAGAAAGACACTCTCTCTAGTCAAGTATTTTGTTATTCCATGCACTGAATTGAAAGTTTACAAGTTATTGATAAAGTTCAGAGAAGTACAGCATCTTTTCCTCAGGCCTGCTGTGCAAAGGCCAGTCTTCAGTACTAAATCACTGATCACACTCATGTCAAACACTGAAAAGCAAAACCAGAGACATCGGAAAGATATAGATAAGGACAAAAAAATACAGGAAAGATGAAAAGAGAAGGAGGACCAGATTCAAAAATGTCATACTCCAAAGGTTTCATAATTTCACTAGCAATGCAACATTTGTCTGTAAATGAAGACAAATCAGCACAACAAAGAGATTTCAAAAGCAAACAATGGAAGTTTGAGACCAGACCTTTTTCCAGTGTGACTTTGCCCTGGCCAGCCACTCACACAGTTCCTCAACTTTCTTCTTGTGAACTGCCAAATCATTCTGTTCAGATTGTACATCAAAAGCATTTGACAAGAGCAAAGGCGTCAATTAACAAGATGAGAACATAATTCATTCCACGGTCTCAAAAACACATCCCTCTCACATAAATACAAAACAAGTTTCAAGGAAAGTGAATAAAATACAAAGTTCTAAATAACCACTGTAATTTACCTTGAAACCCTAAAGAAAATGTGCATTTGTGTAAGTAACCTTTGATAGAACAATATCCATGAAGCAGACACTTGATAAAGAAATAGAAACTGGTTTCCGACACTGCAAGATATAATGATGGCTACGATACAAAATTGTCACTGCTATAAAGGGCTCAAAGATTTCTAAACCCAAGAGCACAGTTCAAATGACAATTTGTAGCATCAACTGTACTCAGTTAAACGTCAGTTTGAACCCCATGACATGCATCAAAGAAGATGAGAAAAAGTCACTTTCTCAGATATCACTACATCCACATTTTACTAGAGGAAGTTTTCTCATTGCGGTAGAATAAAATGGTAAATAACTTGGTTATACCCTATGCAAAGGTCTGTACTTATCACACCAAAGATCTTTTGATGAACATGTCTTGGAGTGTGATGGCAGTCTAGAGGTAATGCAGTGATCTGACTCCCGAGGTCGCTTTCGAGACTCATGTTGGGACGTGAAGGCAAAAACAGAGGTTTGGGGAACTGAAACACAACATTTGTCCAATCAAATCACAGACGGATCTATAAATGTATCTAGGTGACAAATCATAAAATAATAATAACTGCATTTCTATCGCGCATACTCTTCAGCATGCTCTCTGTGCTTTATATTTATTAACACTTTCCGGACATGGTATTTTTGGGTCTAGACGTAATTAATTTTTGGCTCGATTTGGCTATACAAGTGATGTCCAAAATAACTTCATATAAAGACAGCCATCACTCAAAAGGTAACATGTGATGTGTCAAATTGAAGGGAATTGGGAATACATTCAGACATAAAACAAGGATTAATTTTGAACATAAGCATGCACATATAACATGGGTTAGAATGGGTGATGGTGATGTTGTTGTTGTTGTTGTTGTTGTTAGCGATCCAGTAGCATCTGAGCGTTAACTCTTCTGCATGATGCCATTCGGTAATAGCTGCATGTCTGTTCTAATTGTTTGTTTTGAGGAGTAGAGGCAGTTAGATGTGTGGGGTAGCTTGGGAAGAAAACATCCCCTTAAATCAATTAGTTTTCTACAAAAGAACAGATGATGTTCCACTGTCTCTGAGGGGTAGTCACATAGTGGGCAGGCAGTAGACTGCTTTACTCCAATTCGGTTGAGATGTTGGTTGAGGGGTACATGTTGTGTTCTAAGTTGGAAGATTATGGATTGATCTCCCCTCCTCAACTCATTGATTGGATCTTTGACCAGTGGTTTATTCATGTGGCCATACATCCTCCTTCCTGTCGTACCTGTGGCCCAATCATTCATCCACTCTTCCTTGAGGTTTGACTTGATCATTTGGCAGCAGGTGATGTAATTCGTAGGAGTTTCAGGCTGAGGGAGACTAGCTCCTTTCTTTGCCAGAGCATCAGCTCTTTCATTTCCCGGTATCCCAGAGTGGGCAGGAATCCATTGTAGGACTACTCTGACGTGGTGCCTACTTATCAAATTATGTAGACTCCAAATCAAGTGCAATATATCTTTGTTCAAATCAGTCCCACTCTCAAGTGTCTCTAGTGTTGAAAGGCTGTCTGTAAAGATAACGATGTCTGTGGTAGCAAGTGGGTCAGTGTCAAACAAGTAGTTGATGTAGTTTGCTGTGTTGGTGATAGCCTGTTGTTCGGCAATGAAATTGGAGCAGAAGGACCCGCTGGATTAAAGACTTCTTTTTTTATCCCACTGGGCAAGTTGATCACTGACCCATATCCAGCGTTGATTGTTGCCTTTGATGGTCTAAATGTGACATTACAAGTAACTATCTTTTTCTCTTCCAGTAGAAAACTCTGAGCATCAAGAAGTCTTCTTCTCTGTGCCCTTCTCTCATTGTTTGAACTTGCCAAGCAAACTATAAAGTGTTGGGCTGTCTGACACTTTAGTTTTTAATCATGTTGTCCCCCGGAACATTTTTTTTTTCAACACACAGGGTCATTTTGCCTGACACAAAACTCTTCAAACTGACAAAGTCCCTTTGTGGGTCATGCCACACTTTTTCAAACTGTTTACAAATATACTATAAATATACTATCTGTTGCAAAAACAAAGATGATTTTGAAAATAAAGTGAAGGCAAGACAGTCACCTGATATGTTACTGTCTGTTTGGTTTCTCTTGAGATCAGACAAAGAACCTCCTTTGATTTTTGTCTTTGAAATTGGAGTCGAAAGGTTTGGTCCAAAGTCACCAAATGATGATGAAACCCAAGTTACTGATTTCTGAAAAAGACAAATAGCAAAATTATCAAGGAGCAGTATTTACTGTGAGCACTAAACATAGAAAGATAAAACAATCTGATCATCATCTCATTCTCGTACAGATGAAGACTGATCATCATCTCATTCTCGTACAGATGAAGACTGATCATCATCTCATTCTCGTACAGATGAAGACTGATCATCATCTCATTCTCGTACAGATGAAGACTTCTGACTTGTATGCCATCCACAGAACGAAAGAGAAAATTAGCTAGTAATCGGCGGTGCCTATAGGAATTCTAATAGGCAAGGGAATTTAGAGGAATGGTTCCACTCGTCACTGTCTGCTTTGGTCTCTGGTGGCTTCAGTCCACACTGCAAATAGACCCGAATGCCCGACTTGTCACATGGTGGCCTTGAAAACAAACAAGTTTGTTTTTTAAGTTCATCGTCGGTGTTGTTCGACTTGTGCCACAATGGTAGCTTTTTTGCCCCTCTGTGGAGGAAAATCTGACTCACCCATGTTATGACCAAACCGAATTGATTCTGCCTATGGGCACGGCTTTTAAGGATGACATTAAAGTTGGAGGTGTGTCACTGACAACATTCACCTTTTCGGATGAAAATAAGAGAGGCATTCAAAAGTGATATATATCATATATATGGGTCCAAAAAAGGAAATTTGTTCCACTACTTTTATCTTACAGAATACCTAATTTATATCGTAAATAACTCTAGCGCAATGGTACTACTAAATACTAAATCCAACTTTTTACCGCAGGTTCAAGCCTCAAGACCAAGAATCAAGAATCTAACTATATATATACAATCCATCAAAATAACCTGAGAAAATTCTGCAAGATCTGCTCTATTTTGTGAGTAGCAGTTGAAAATCATTATAAAAGTCAAGCATTGTGGTGAAATCAAGCACTAGTCAAAATGATTAAATTGAAGGAACCAGCATTTTCCCTCCATTTTGCCAATTTTTATCAAATTTTTGTTTTTGTGCTCAACACCTTTGATGTCCACTATATATGGTGGGTTGGAATCCCGTCAGGGGCCCGACGTTGTGTCCTTGGGAAAGGCACTTTACACAAATTTTCCTCACTTCACCCAGGTGGGAATGGGTACCCGGATATAGACAGCAAAAGACCTTGTCAGTTTGTTAGTGTTTGAGTGCTTAATCAGCTGCTTGCACTGTATGCTTCCCGGGAAGCTGAGAATGTTTCGGAGTGTTCTATGGTCTGCTGGGGTAATAATATAGTGTAAAGCTCATAGAGCCTGCTGTTGAGCGGGGATATGCGCTATACAAATGCTATTTATTACTATTATTATAATATATATATATATATATATATATATATATATATATATATATATATATATATATATATATATATATATATATATATATATATATATATATATATATATAATACTCATCTAAATTCCGTGTGATTTTTACTGAAAAACGTTGGGTAAGTAAAGGCACAAAATATGTTGGGTTTTTTTTTCAGTTTTCAAGGACTCTCAAGCTATTGAAGTTACTAAACTTTGGCAGCCATTTTCTCCCTAATCTTACCACTGAAACCAGGCAACCTCATCTGTTTCAAACACATCTCGACTTCTATTCATCAAGATAGACGGGTATCTTTTTAGTTGAAAGCAAGGCAAATGGACAAAGATACCAGGTAAATAAACTGCACATGCCCAAAAATACACAAGTGCCCGATTCCACTGCATCGTGACAAAAATAGAGTCATTCGCTAATACGGGGTGCCCATTGGGGATGGGATGGGGTCGGGTCGGGGTCGATCGCCCCACTTGACAAGCGGATAGAGCTAGACAATGACAACTAAACGCCATTGGCCAATATCTATAGTAACAACCATGCTGTCTGACCTCGCAAGGGGGATGCCCGCCGCGTCATTTGATCGTGATTCTAAAAATAGTGATGATTTTGCGTAGCACGCAGTTTGTACTCTCAGTTTCCAAGCTTCCTTCTTTGAGTCTTTCCAAGTGGTTCCCTGAACTTTGTTTGAACTTATTTTCGTACGTAGGCCTACTCCACATGCCGATAAACGTAAAACGACGCACCTTCCTGATAGACTGCTAATTTCAGTAATGTGATGTCATCACTTCCTGGGATACCCACAGACTATTTTAAGAATGAGGTGTTTTCTGTATGTTAATAACATTTCGGAATTCCTAGTACTTGGACATGATGGAAGATCGTTTAGATCTAGAACGCTGATGCTTGAAATTGAAACATGGTAAACGCAAAGACAATGAACCGCACCAAAACTGCCATAAAGATGCCAGAGGATTAGACCCCCCGCCCCCCCGCCACACTCCTGCGTGCTTCACAACTAATATATGTATAATAAAACTACAGAGCAACAAGTCACAATTTATGATGCCTCACAACTAATATAATAAAACTACAAAGCAACAAGTTACAATTTATGGGAGAAACTGTCGGTGAGTCGGGAGGAGAAGAGAAAACAAAAAAAACAAAAAGCCTTCCGGGACCAGGATATCCCAAGCTCATAAAATTATTGCATGACTTCAAACGCAGACACGCTGTCCATTGGGCCATCAGAACTTCCAAAATAAGCTTGCTATACATAGACACTTCCATCTTTGGTGCCATGCGGTTGGCTTTAGATCACGTGATCGCTAGGAATGGGCAGGTGCAGGTACCCAGTACCGGAACTCCAGGTTCTACCGAAGGAAGTGTCAGTACCGACACCTGGCCTCCAGTACCGGCTCTGGAAAGGAGCCGACACCAACGGTTAGTACCGGTTCTGGGAAGGAGCGGGCACCAAGACAGAGAGTAAATGTACAGGCCGACACCAACGGTTTTTTAAACAGGGCCACGGGAAGTGTGCTGTGAGTGGGCATCTCCGGTGTAGGCCTAGGCCTAGCAGCTGTGACGTCAAATGCACACAACGCAGCTGGTGACCTTGATACATGACTTCAGATTTAAAATTGACAATCAAAAATGAAGTTAGCTTAAATCTAAATATATGGCATCAAATCAGGTTCCACACGAGCCACTTTATGTATTTTGATACGCTGATTCCGAAAATGAAATCAATTTTTTGCGGTGATAATTATTTTTAAAATTCTGCATGCCGAGTCTTATCCAGCGCGGCGGCAAACTTCAAAGGTATTTTGCTCAAGTTCGCCTCTCCAATTCTGACGTGTGTGTGTGTGTGGGAAGGGGAGGGGGGGTGCTGGCGGCGCTGATTGTAGTGTAAGACGCATGACGTGAAGTCTGTGACAACACCTACTGGTGTCACTCTCAGTACCGGTACCGGTGCCGGTACTGGCAGTTCTCTGCACCCAGTACCGAGAAAGTGTCGACAAAGGGTTTCACCGGTACCACCCAACACTAGTGATCGGAGGGGTATCTTGGTCTGAGGTCAAACCAGATGGCCACCTTACCTAAAAATAGTTTGCATCGTTCTACGTTTAATCGCATCATGTGCCTACTCCTAGTCTTCTTCTTCTCAGTTTACGAAGAGTACATCATCAGAATCAATCTGGGCGGAAGAAGGGCACTGCACAATCACAGACATTGAACCGAACCAAACAGTTCTATTCTGCAAGTTACAAAGAAAATAGTTTTCGAGTCAGCAGGCTGCCATCTTGCGGTCGTGTTGCCACCATAATTTTATAACTACTGACAAAGTGGGAATCACTCTTGAAATGATGTCAAACAAGATGGCTGTATACTATAAATATTGGCCAATGGCATTAAGTTGTGATTCTCTAGCTATCCGCTTGTCCCCACTCATCGCCTCACTCACACGTTTTTAGAGTCGACTAGTCTAGATTCTAGAGATAGATCTAGATCTAGATCTAGAATCTAGATTCTAGATCTTAAGTTGTTGGGTGCGATCGGCTTACACGATGTCGATAGCTGCTTTGCGCCTTCAATTCTGGCTAACAAACCACCCCGACCAGACCCGATCCCCCATTGGTATTAGAGTTTGATACTGAAGAAGTGAGAAAGTAGTAAAAGAAGCTTTGCCTTGCCTTTGGTTTTACTTTTGATTTCACAGGATCAATCTTGACGAATTGGACATCGTCGTCCGAATCCAAACAGTCCATTATATATGCATTCAACTTTCTGCATACATGAACACCCACTGATGACGTTTACATTTCAGTGGAATAATACAGCAAAACTAGGAATAAAACTGACAGCAGAAAAAAACCCAGAAAAATGAAACGATAAAGAAAGTGAAAGCTGTCAATAATCTGTGATGATGCTTTGTTGAATCAACAAGTTAGAAAGCGATTGTAGTTATGTGGCAGTGCTAGCAGTCACGGTTTTACATTTCGCCTCTTCGTTGGTTGAAATTACGGCTACGGCCATCGAGAGTAAACCCCTGAGATTTAGCCCCCTTCATGGACATTTTATACTGAATTAATATTCACCTGGTTCTTTTTTTGCCTTTTTAGTGCTATTATAGGTTATTTTAATTTTTGGTGAAAATCTCTTACAATTCAATTTCAATCTTTCATGTACCGTAATATTTTGGTTTGTAATAACTTTTGAGAAGTCGAACCAAAGTAAACTTTTATCCAAAATGAAGTATACAAATATGGCGGCCTCCTTTGAGTTCAATGTTTCACAATCCCTTGACAATAGACATGAGTAAATCGTAGGGCAGAGTCACGCTCTAGCATCTAGTTATTCGTTTTTCTGTCGAAGAGAGATTATAAAAGAAACTCGTCGAACGGCTAGTTATTATATTTCTTATTTGTCGCCGCCCAGCAACGAACTTGATCAAGACGTGTAACCGTAAGTCAAGTGAAGTGAAGGAGGGTCTACACTGTCACTACAGTCTAAGTCTAGTCTGGCCGGAGACTTAGACTAGAACTAGAATCTAGATCTAGAATATAGATATCTAGATCTACTAATATCTAGATCTATATATCTAGATTATCTTAGAAGATCTAGATCTAGAAATAGGTCTAGATATTTAGATCTAGTCTAGATATCTAGATCTAGATCTTAGATGATTATTATTTATTATTGTCACCCGGCACCCGGTTTTTTTGTTTTTCTATTTCTAGCATCATCATAGCCTCTACATACTCAGTATACTCTATGACATAGGACCCCTGTCACTGAGTACTCCAGGCGACAACTTGCCTCCCTCTCTCCTCACTCCGCTGAGGTGCAAGGTGACTAAAATCGCCAACGGGCGGGCCAGCTCTGGAGCGCGGGAGGCGACTATTGTCGATTTGGTGGAAAACCTTTAAAATCTTGGTGCTTTTTCGGTAGTTCCCACCCCCCTTATATTTTGAGCCTGACCTACATCGAGATCTATACGTTTGATGCGAGTTAAGATATCAAACCTAACAACTGCAAAACATCAAATTATGGTAAAATTCACCACAATTTTATTAGGACAGGGGGGCAAGCCCCCCTCTCTTGAGAGGCCAAAACCGGCGAATAACAATTGCGGGGTGGGAACTACCGAAAAAGCCCCAAAATCTTTTGACCAAATAGCGTCTCCTTTTGTTGCTACATTATTAAATTATTGGTTCTCTGTAAGTAATTGGAAAATTTTACTCTTGAATGGTTTAACAATCAAAATTAAGAAAAAAATAAGCCTAGGGCCTAGGCTAGGCTACTAGGGTCAAGGCACTGCGTTCCTTAAAAATAATCGTGGGTTCTGCTTGGGATAACAATTTTATTAAACATGTTTTTTTGTGTTGTAAATATTGGGCGCGATCTGTTGATTTGCGTGATCCTTCGACCGCGCAGCGCATTTGGTTGATCGAGGAAACGCGCGACAATCCATCGATTGTTGGGCATTCTGTTGATCAGCGGATCACGCAGCGCTTTTTGTTGATCCGTGAAATATGTACTTACTGCGCATTCTCAGATTCTGTTGATAAACTATGATGATGAGGTGAAAAAAGAAAAAAAGAACATTGGTTTACTGAGCTCGTCAGTCTTTGAGTTTGAACATCCAAGAAGAGTTGTGTGATGAACCTAAAGTGTTGACGGTTGAGTGAGGCAGATAAATTGACACGATGTTAAATCGAGCACCTGCACTCGGTATTTGGACCGATGTGATTGGCTGCGTACTTCACGTGGTATTCCAAATACGGTCAAGATTGCACAAAGAGCGGAAAATTATATATTTCTTCGATCATTATTTTGACGAGTCCCTGATTCCACCGCGTCGTGACACATTATAATAGATCTAGCCACTAAAACTGTTTTAAAAATATGCCTTAACTCTGCAGTACATCAAATTGTAGGGAGAATGCGGGGGGGGGGGGGACGAGGTGAATGTGAATCCTCCTTCCCCCCTCCCCCACCAGATATTCTAAAAAAATGGAGAAACTCCTTCAGACTGTTGAAACTCCTATTGGGCATCTCCCCACCCCGAGGAAGTAGGAGTGGGAAATGACACATTTTTTAGAAACAGTATTAATATAAAAAAGATCACATATTCATACATTCGAAACAATGGATGGGTTCGGATTTTGGGAAATGTAGATTTGTTAAATCTTCCAGAAAATCTCCAAATCTGAGTAAAATGTCGAAGTAGAAATGATATTCCAAACTGTCTTCAGGCTGAGTGTGAAAGACAAACAAGTTAGACACAAGTCTGGTGATAGAGAAACTGGAATTGTTTTTAAAAATGTCGGTCCCAGATACTGTATTGGGAGACAATGGATCGGATGGATTCTATATGTGGTCTTACTCTCTTGATAGAATTAAATAATTCAGGACTGAGTTGGGAAATTGTTTTGTTCCAGGGTAGAGATATTGGAGCGGGTCGTGTCGAGTGTCAGGGTCCCCACCAGGCCTGGAAATCGGGAAAAAGTCGGGAATTTTGAGATTGGTTGGGAGGTCGGGAAAAAGTCGAGAATTTTGTGATGGGTCGGTATGTCGGGAAAGGATAGGGCGTGTGTAATTTAGTAGTGTAGCTATCAAGACAGTATGGTTGATGAATCATGAAGAGGAAACGTAATTGAACCACTATGGCGGCAGGCGGAAGTATATATATGACACCGAGGCTCGATTGAGAAGAATCAAGATCTACTTTCGCTTTCGTTACCACTCACAAATTTTCCGGTCATTGTCAGATAATGCAACATTTGTAACATGCAGGTTGTGCATTATGAACGCTGTGTCACCATGAAAATAAATCAATATTAAAAGTTTGTCCTCTGCTGTCACTTGTGAAAAAAGAAAAGAAAAAAGAAAGTTCTACAAGCGTCTTGTCACATTCGCCATCGTGACCGGTCAATGAACCTGTGAGTGTGAGTATCGGCGGTCTGAGCGCTGTGAAGTATAGGACTCCGGAATGGGGGGGGGGGGTATTGCTTTTTTTAATAAGTATTATAAGATACACCCAGGGAAAGGGATGGTGGGGGAGGAGCTGAGGTCAAAAACTTAACTTGGAAGCAAATTTTTAGTATTTAGAATTTTGAGAACTAGCTTACTATAGCGCACGTTTGTGTAGGCCTTGTGTGGAATCAGGATCGGTCATGCCTTGTCATTGAACTAAAGTGTTCGCGTTTCATTGGATGAGGAGATTGTGATTTATCTATTTTAGCTTTCTGTTCAAGATTGGCAGATTTTCAGTGTCACTGCATCTTGCCACCCCTCAGTTCTTACACGTCTCACGCTGAATAGGTTTACTTCGTGAGCCATTCAAGTTATTACTAATATTACTCTACTTTGAGTTTGAGCAATAGTTTTCATCTTCACGTTTATTACATGAATCATGACACCCAGACTGGTTTTTTGACAGTCAATATTCTAGTTCTAGCTTTTCTGAGGCTCAAAACAGGATTCATTTTTTAATAGGGCCTATAGTTTATGTAGGCTAATATGATGAGAGGAAAATATTATACAGACTGAAATACCGAAGTCACACAAGATCCCAGTGCCACACTGACAGGTTGTTGACTGGATATAGTGTACCTACATGTGTGTGTGTATTCACAAACATATATATCAAATTAGATTTTAAATGGAACACGTGCTGTCATTGTTATATAACATGCCCCTGGAAAATGGATGAGGCCCCTCCCTTGGAAAATTGAAAAGCTGGGTTGGCAGTCACCCAGCATTATAATCATTTATTGTTTGAAGACTATACATTTTGAGTTTTTATCATTGATAGATGGGCTTTTGGGGGGATCTTTCTTGATGCGCAGCGGCCTGATTTTTTCCTTGAATTGGGGTCTTGAAAAAAATTTCCTGGATTTGGTGGGGACCCTGGAGTGTCATAGATGTTTAGATTTTAGATTCAATAAGGTTTTTCAGAAATTCATAATCTTTCCTGAGTTTCTTTAAAAAAGGCAAAAACCTATATTTTAAAAATTTCTTTGAAAATATTCTTGGCATTCAAAGAAGCTGTTATTGAAACAGAGGCTTTTAATTGGGCTATAGGCAATTAGGCTTAATTCAGGGCAATTGTTTTCACTCTAGCAGAGCAGCAATTGGCATTGTAACTATTGTAGTACTATACCTATAACAGTCACTACTAAATGCTGAATGAATAGGACAGGTACTTGTCTTCCTTTTTTATGAGACCTTTGGCTTTGCTATGATGGGGATGGGCTCTTTGTCTTAGCCAGCTGTCCCTGTCAATCATGTGCAAGTTGTGTCCCTGACTTGGCACTGACTCTGCTTACCATGAGTGGTCAGTTCCTTGTTCTCAGTTCACTAAGCACCGCTGTCCCTGCCACCATGTTTCTCATTCTTGACTTACTCAATGATGCTCTAGCTTGACATTCAAGTTGTAAGGACAGTGAAAGTTTGGAAGTTGTTTGGTTATTTCAAAGCTTACGTGGTGCTTATCTCCCGTTCAATATAAAAATAGCAGCTGATTTATGATTATTTTGACTTAAGATGTGTGTGGCACTTTTTTGTTTTTGAAACGAAACAGTGAATACTCGATTATGAATGCACTGTAAATTGCTTTGAACAATTGGCAATATCAGAATGGTATGGATATTTCACAGGTATAAACGATGGCTACAAAGATCCGTTGTCATTACGAAGTATTGGGAGTGGAGAGAGATGCAAGTGCTGATGATTTAAAGAAATCCTACAGAAAACTGGCCCTGAAATTTCACCCAGGTATGTATCTATTGCTGTGTTTTAGTTGGTGTATGTACTGACAATTGACATTATCTATAGCAATATTGCCTAGGAACAAGTTCAAGAATGATATGTATACATATTTCATGTTATTGATGTGGAGTCATGGCAGCTGAAACTTTCTTTTTTTTTTCTTCCTTAATGAAGCTGTTTGTATTTTATAGGGCAGTAATAATTGATTACGGAGAACTTTCATGCCCCTCAACTGACTTGGACTTTTTCAGTTCAAGCCACTGAGGGAAAATCTACTGCATGATGATTTGGAATTGACATTTTTTTAGCATGTGTTTAAATAAAATTAATTGGAGCTTAGTGCTTTAGTGAGGCTTCTCAGTCAGATGTGATTAATGCTGTACAGTCGAACCTGTGTAAGACGGCCACCCATTGTCAAGGAGAAAAGTGGCCGTATAAGACAGGTGGCCGTCTTAGGCAGGACTGATCAAGATGATTAATGTTGTATTTGTCCATGGTCTCTTTTCAGATAAAAACCCTGCTAATGTAGAAGAAGCAACTGCTCAGTTCCGTACGGTTCAACAGGCTTATGAAGTACTCACTGATCCCCAGGAAAGAGCGTGGTATGACAAACATCGAGAGGCCATTCTCAGAGGAGGTAAGTCTCATTTGATCTTGTGCCATTTTTTATTGTGCTTCAGTGTTAATAATGACTTTCTTTCTAGCATTTCACTTGCCTGTTTTTTTTCATGTTGGTCGGCTGCATGTTTTTTTTTGGTCTTGAATTTGCCTGCGATTGTTTAGCGTGTCCCTCCTTCTGTTCATCTGCGAAGACCTTTGAAAGAATTTGTTTTTCTTCTTCTTTTGGTGTAATTGTTTCTGTCTCTTCAGTTTTATTTAGGGGTGCCTGTGTTGTAGCCTTGTCTGTTCTAATGACTGCTGTCTGGTGTCTCCCTCCTTCCTTCCTTCCCTCTTTTGTTATTCTCATGACTGCTTTCTCCCTCCTTCCTTCCTTCTCTCTTTTGTTGTTCTAATGACTGGTTCCTCCCTCCTTCCTCCCTTCTCTCTTTTGTTATTCTCATGACTGCTTTCTCCCTCCTTCCTTCCTTCCCTCTTTTGTTATTCTCATGACTGCTTTCTCCCTCCTTCCTCCCTTCTCTCTTTTGTTGTTCTAATGACTGGTTCCTCCCTCCTTCCTCCCTTCTCTCTTGTGTGTATTTTCCCTTGAAGTGTAAGGCTGCTCTTATTATATTCTCTGAAGCTAAAACTGTCCACACAGTCACGGTGAGTCACCTCCATTCACTCACACAGTCACCTCCATTGGGGTCTACATAGTCATGGTGTCTCGGTGGACTGTGGTGAAAACCTTTTCCTAGCCATCACAGACAAAACAGCCACATACAGCAGTGGGTAGTTGCTTTGGAAAGTGTCTCCAGTCTTATGTGACAAGTGTAAGACTTGGAGAAAAAGGAAGACCTAGATCAAGATCTACATGCCCCACAAAAATGAAGGTCTTGTAAAGCCAAGTTCAAGCTACTCATAGGCCTGGTCAGAAGCTGTGGGACAGTTTGAAGCTATTCAAGCTTCTTTAATTGAGCAAAAGAAACATAGTTAATATTGTGTCGATGGGGGCTTAAGAACTCATTTAAAAAAAAAAAAGAAACTAAACACCAAACAACATTTTAAAACAAAGCTACTGACACTCCCCCCCCCAAAAAAAAAACAAACAACAACAACAAAAACAAAAACAAAAACAGTCAGTGCTTGAAAAGTTAAAACTGCCACTGTCAGAGTCCAGTACCGGGTAGCCTAACTGTTGACTAGAATCTAGATTATCTACACCGCGAGCTGTTCCCCAATGTCAGAGTCCATCATCATGAACTGAAGTTAGGAAACAGTGGCACTCCTGTAGGCCTACAATTGAGGTCCCGTTTGCATAAATCACACGAATCTAGATCTAGCCCTAGATCTAAGTGCCCCTGTAGTACATTAATTCTTACGTGTTTCGTATTTAGATCTAAACTGAATTAAGATTAGATCTAATCTAGATCCAGAAATCTAGATCTAATCTAGATCTAGATATCTAGATCTAATCTAGATCTAGATCTTGATCTTGATCTAGATATAGATCTACATCTAGATCTAGAGATAGATTATGTTGTCTATCTAGAATCTAAAATCTAGAGATCTTTAGATCTAGATGATATAGATCGAGATTCTAGATCTATATCTATACTTAGAATCTAGATCTAGAAATCTAGATTCACTCCCACAATGGCCGTCATGTAAACAAACGGGACCGCAGTTGTACAGGAGTGCCGAAACCGTGCACCGAAAAAGAAGCGCTTTGAAACTAGTAGACTCCAGGCCTACAGGAGCAAGTAGGCCTACTGTTGATAATGATAGTAGACCTGTGAATCACGTTGCATGATAGGCCTAGTGTGTCTCCGCCAATTCACAGGCGAGTAGTCAAGAGTCGCTCTTCGGTCATTCGCCCACCAGGCCACCACTAGATTTAGATTTAGATCATCTACTTTCCGAACTGCACACCCTTGGCTGGGTGCACAACAAAATCTAGATATAGATTCTAGATCTAGATACGTTTATTCATTAAATACTCTCTCTCTGGGCTAAAATAAATAAATTATAGTAACACTAGATCGACACACCGCCGAGATGATCAGTAGCCTTGCATTGTAACCAATGTAAACTACCGCTCACTCAGCGAGCCAATCACAATCCAATATTTTTGGGGTCCACCTAGACACCATGACTAAGTAGGCCCCAATTAGGGAGTACCTAGACACTTCCTATTCAAATTGATTTTTTTGTTCAGGTCTGGGTGGTGGAGACAAATATGATGATGACAGTGTAGATCTCTTCCAATACTTCAATTCTACATGCTACTCTGGCTTTGGGGATGATGATGAGGTAAGGACGTTTTGCCATTGAGCGTAATCATGCTGTCACTTGTAAATGTAACACTTGTTTTTGGTCCAACATGAGTTGAATTACATTCTAGATGAAATAAGATGAAAAATCTATGTCAAAGCTGTTTTGTGGTACAATGAATTTATCAGGAAGAGAAATATTCTTATTTATAGTCTGATACATATTTTAATGGCCGGTTTTAGTTTCTGTGCTGCGTGCAACATAAATTCATGTTAGTGGCTAGTTTTTGTGTGTATGGAATTATCTTTATATCATTCAGCAAATAACATTGCAAAAATGAATGGATTTTACATTTTAATTTTTTCCACTTACAGGGGTTTTATGCTGTGTACAGACAAGTATTTGAGACGTTAGCTGAGGAAGACTATGTGTTTATGCCAGACAGGAAGAAAGATGAAGAATTCCCAAAGTTTGGAGACTCCAGCTCAGACTATGATGAGGTAAGAAGAAACTAGGATGTGCTCTTGCATGTTTGATGAGGCGAGCTATTGAAAATTAAATGTTTTATCAACGATACTTATGCATTTTTAAAAAAAACAGCATTATAAAAATCGACTGCTTTGGAAATTTAAAAAATATGTTTATATATATTTTCTCATTGTATTTGTATACTCTTTTTTTTTCCTTAAAAATTTGTTTTCTCACTCCTCCAGATACCTAATGGGGGTTTTTAAATGTTGAGCTTTGCTCTTTTCGACCTGTATTTTGTACGGTTGACACAGCTTTCTGTTTTCTCACCCCCTTAGGTTGTAGGCCCCTTCTATGCATTCTGGACCAGTTTTTGTAGCAACAAGTCGTATGTCTGGGTGGAGAAATACGACACGAGAGAGGCACCTGACCGCAGGTGTCGCCGAGCCATGGAGGGAGAGAATAAAAAGTTGAGAGATGCTGCCAAGAAAGAAAGAAACGAGGAAATTCGGGTACTTTTCTCCTTGATACTTTCTGTGTAGTATGTCTTTCTTTGTGTTGTAATTTGTATTTGGGAATGCTTTTGTCTACATTTGATCATGGGGGGATTTAGATGAGGACTGCATTCTTTTTCATATATAGCAATGATCAAATGTCTCTGCTTTGTGAAAGTTTTAATGTTAACCCTTGCTGTTTTCCTGAGTTAGTGAGCTGCAGGTAATAATGTGAGTAACCTCTGAGACTAACACTATTAATTGGTTGAAGTGTAGTTTTATGTTGTCTGAGAAACTCATTATTTAGGAAGGGGCAAAAAGAATGTACTTTCACTGTTTGAATGATTCTATAACTCTCAGGGAATTTTTTTTGTAATTCAAGTACATATTGTTCTCTTCCTGCTCTGGACCTATTGTTTGATGTCATGGTAGTAGTAGTATAGGGTTTTACGGCGCTCGCAACTGCTAAGGTCATATGAGCATGCTATGTCATGTTAACTGATTCATGTGTTCTATTCTTTCCTCTCTTTGTTCTCAGAACCTGGCAGCTTATGTGAAGAAAAGAGATAAACGTGTTCAAGCGTACAAGGTGAGACCAAAATGTCTAGAGTCGTGAGCTTCACTTTAGTTCAATATCTCATTCGTGTATGCTGCAGTTCACGTCTTTTTACATTTTTATTAACTCAGAAATATTTGAGAAGAATTTTGTTTATACCCTAAAATTTGCTTGTGAATCTCTGTCTTGTTGTTTTTCTCTATGTTTGTGTGTAGCTGTGTGCAAGTCATTGGGAAGTTTATGCATTGTTGGGAAATGAATCTACTGACATATTTCTTCTCATTTGTTGAATGTGCTTTTCAAGGAACTAGGAAATCTGTTCTGATTGGATGACGTTTTTTTCCTCAGAAATTTATTGAGGAGAGAAATGCTGAGATTGAGAGAAAAACAAAAGCCAAACGAGAAGAGCAGCTGAGAGACAGACAGAAGTGAGTGCTGTTTGCCTCAATGTCTTGTCTTTGTCTGTTTGTTGACTGTTCTGAAAGTTTGAGCTTCATACTCCTTGCAACACAATGTGGTTTGTTGGTTGTTCTGAAAGTTTGAGCTTCATACTCCTTGCAACACAATGTGGTTTGTTGAAGAGGTGGTTGGCGGGTGCTCTGGTCACAGCGGATAAAATACCGTCCAGACCGCTCACTTAGTTTTCCTTCCCCGGTTCCTCCACGACCATCCTCACCACCCTGCCCGCTCCGCCCGACAGCCCAGCGCGTAGTCATAAATCACTTGTCAGAGGGGTTAATTGGGGTGACCGCAGCGCCACTCCTCCTGTGCCGGGGCAGTAGTAAATATGGCGTTTTAGTGCGAATTGAAAGCCTCCTAACTCTGAAACTATAAATGCTACAAGGCCGATTGAGATTTCATTGTAACGTGCTATGTTTGACCTGTAGGCCGGTATAACTTGTTTTCTTGTAAGTCCGATTATATCAGTTTTACAAGGGATTTAAGTAAGTCTGTGATTTTCAAACTGGCATCTTCAATGTTTAGAACTTTTTCAGTTTGGATTTAGATATTTCAATCCGGCCCCCAACGATTTAAACAGAAATTCATGTATCAACTGTGGTGACAATTTTCATTTACATGTGCAAGTTTCAAATGCACGAAGTTATTCTATGATTTTCTGTGAATTTTTAAAAATACCAACCCACCACTCTGAACATTCATCCTTGCTGTTTTTAGTTTTCTTGCCTCTACTACATCTGAATTTCGTTGTCATTTTTAACAATATTTTTGTCATGGAGTGCCACACTCAACGTGATCATATGGTGGGCATTGTGCTCAAACATCATCGCCTTCTTGAGGAGGCTGCACATGATATAGATGTACAGCTGGCACATGATATAGATGTACAGCTGGTCCATCAATCTATGGAGAATTGCACGCCTGGAATAGGACAAAATGTGCATATCTACGGCAAAAAATGAAAGAGGGCTGGAAAAAACCGAGGAGGACATTCAATTGTTACAGGGCTGTCAGATTTTGTCGGATAATCCACGAGAAGCAGAAAGATTTGAGAGGAAGGGTTCTAGTGTACATGATCAGCTGTCAGAGTTAGAGTTTGAGGAGCTTATTCCAAGGTCAAGTCCTGCCTGCTCTGAATTTGATAACATCCTCAAACAACACAACATCACACCACAGGCCTACCACAGCCGTTCATTTATAGGAAGCCACTGCCATAAATACATCACAGCCCATGTGTACAGACAGCTAGCATCATTTTTAGCAAAAGGAACAGTTGCATGTACACGAAATCAAAGCATAATAGACACCGCATTAATTGTTCTGAGAGAGAAATTTGTTCACGTAAAAGACACCTTCAAAGATATCCACACAGTAATTGCACATGGAAAGCCAATCACTTTAGAGAGAATACCACATATTCAGTCATGCATCACACGATATATGTCTTTATACAGAAACATATTTGGCAAATAAAAGGTCTTGAGTCGATAGTGCCGTAAAACACGTGCTACTCAATCAAAATCGATCAAAAGAAAAGGTCATCCCCAAACAACACATCCTTGAGAAACACTGCGTTCCTTGGATACAAAAATGTGGGTTTGGAATGACCTTCCGTTGTGAGCAAGGGGGTGAGCTCATTCATGCAACCGTGGCCTAACAGACAAAGAAAAACACGTCAAAACAATCATGCAGTCACAACAGGTCCAACCCACCCTGAGCTACTCTGTCGTGTGCACCACCCATCAAAAGACGAAAGCTTACAGCGGAAAAATGAGATAATTCCTCCAGTCCAGCATTATTGTGTTCTTTTTGTATTTTGTGTTTAGGTTGTGTTTTCATAAGTGTATCGGCAAGAAAAGATCTGTCCTGTAGTTACATGTATCGTGGATATCGCTATGAAAAAACAAGGTCGCAAAGCAAGAGTATTGCAAAAATCAACTTCAAACCTGAATAATTACGGATCCAGAAACTTCGTGCATATGCCCCTTTGTCAGTACAAATTTCATTATGTTCTCAGTCCTGTGTGCAAATTTGATTGAATTCGTTGGGGGCAATCATATTTAAATCGATGTTTATAATTGATTACCCATGACACATTTATCAAATTAAGTCCCCTTTTTGAGAACTTCACAGCTTTTAAGTGTAATGTACCATGTTCTTCCGATTTCTTCATTTTCTTCCTTAATATGTTGAATATTTACGTGGTCTTTATTAAAATATTCATCTTACATTAGCTTTGGCTCACTGTGCTGGTAAACTTTGCAAAAAATACGAGAGCGCTGCCGGTGTTCGGCTGATTAGGGAAATCCCCGGCGGCGCAGGTAAATGACCCCGTGACCTGGGGAAGCGCGGGCGTGCTTGCCTCGCGCCAGCCGAAACTAAATGGGCGCTCTATAACCGCTGTGTGGTGTGGTTTGTTGAAGAGGTGGTTGGCGGGTGCTCTGGTGTGGTTTGTTGAAGAGCTGGTTGGCGGGTGCTCTGATGTGGTTTGTTGAAGAGGTGGTTGGCGGGTGCTCTGGTGTGGTTTGTTGAAGAGGTGGTTGGCGGGTGCTCTGGTGTGGTTTGTTTAAGAGGCATTGCCAGCATGTTGCTGTGACTAAGCACTCCACAAACCATGTAACTGAAGAACCGTCTAAATAGTGATTCAACTCAAGTAGGCTCACACATTATTCAACATTTAATGCTTTAATAAAGAAGTGAATAGCTATCCCTTTCTTTCTTTGTTGATGTTGTCACCACCAAAGTTGAAGAGTATGAAGGAATGAATGGGCCTGGTTGACAAGTTTTGAGCAGGAGACATGTCTGAAATATATGTTTGTTTCCTTTCTTCATGACTTATTTTATCCGTGATCTTTGTGTCTTTTTTATAAGTCATTTCTGCATTGAAACCCACTGTATCATACACTGTATTGTCCTCAATGTGTACACTGTATTGTCCTCAATGTGTACACTGTATCATACACTGTATTGTCCTCAATGTGTACACTGTATCATACACTGTATTGTCCTCAATGTGTACACTGTATTGTCCTCAATGTGTACACTGTATCATACACTGTATTGTCCTCAATGTGTACACTGTATCATACACTGTATTGTCCTCAATGTGTACACTGTATCAAACACTGTGCTATAATGTTTATGATGTCAATGAACAAAATGTTTTTACACATTGTTTTCCTTCTCTGTCTCTATTGTGTGTGTCTTTGTCGGAGGAAAGAGTAGCACGTTGACCCAGTCACAGTCATGTGATAGTAGAAAAACAGCCAGACTGTAAGACAGAAACGGAAAAGGATAGTCAAGAAGTAGCACCTACATGTAGGACCCTCCAACCTCCCACTTCTTTTCTATGAAATAACTTTTTGTTCCTCTTTGTGTGCAGACGTATGGAGAACTACCAAGAAGCTAGCTGGTCGGCCATGTCGGAGCTAGAGAAAGATCTAGAACAGCTGGAGGCCCACCTGGACCGGCACTTTGGGGATGGAGAAGAAGGTGAGGGCCAGGTGTTACTGGATGTCAAGTCTCACTCATTTTTGGATTTCCTTCCTTTAGTAATATTTTATACGCATGTTTGTTTATAAATCAGTGTCGCCAACATCTGTTTGATAAAAATTAGACTTGTACCTATCATATCAATGAGCTATCACCGTGGATTTGTTCATCCATTGGTTCCTTCTTGTCACAATAGGCCTCTATCTGCCCTGGTCTCTGCTGTGATTTATTATTTCATGAACCTGTAGACCACGACTATCATATCAATCCCATCAATTTCCTACTCTAAAACTGGTTTGTGATTTGTGGTTTTTGTGGGAGTTCTCTCCCCTGTAGATTTTTGTTCACCACAGATGGAAAGATGGAAAGTAATACATTTCCATTTTGTGCCAGGAGCATCGACACTTCGCTGCTTTAGATTACAAAGTTCTGTCTCACGGCGCACCGGCAGTGCAATTTTAGTTGCAGCAGGGGGGGGGGGTTCCCCTCCAAGCGCCTTATCACATGGGGGTCACGGTGATCAGCTTCCTGTTGCCGCTCTGTCTGGGCTGACTTAACTTTTGGTACTTTTCAACGTACAATTTTAGGTGTATCCCCGTATTTATGGTAATTCTCATTTAGTGCACCCAAAGCACGCATTTCTGCTCTTGAGACTCAAAAAAGAACGGACATTGTAACTTGTCTGATTATTTCGTTAGATGCGCTGAAGTCAGCGATACTAAATTATAAAACTTTTAGGACAATTTTTGAATGAAAAAAAATCAATATAAAAAAACGACGCGACAAAAACTGTCAAACTTTTGGAACATGAACGACATAACGTTGGTGCAGATCCTCAGAAAAGATGGTGTCTGCGCATGTAAAAGAAAGCTGTACTAGTGCAACTTTATCCATCTGGCACACAATTCCCCATGAAGGAATTTCTGCAAATACAACTTTGTGTGTCTAATATAATCATAAAAATTACCTTGAAGTCTCTCTATGTAAAAGTGCAAATTGATTTTAGTTCCAGAATACGTTGACAATGTAATACACGAACAGTATCTATAACACTCCAGAAATTCCTTACTTTTCTTAAAACGCTAAGTGTAGGTTTTGAAAGTTGACTGAATAAGAAGGATGACTTCTCGTAATTGGGTTATAAGAATAATTTCTAGCTTTCCAGTGGCACTGAATCAGCACCAGACTTTTCCAGCTTTTATTTTCGTTTCTATGACCATTTGCTGTAACTGACAATGTTCTGATTTCTTGACATGCATGTGTTCACTGTCATTATATTTATTCCATACGATACAAGAAGTTTATCTCTACGAATGTATTTGCACAGTTTGATATTTTGTTAAAATAACATAATTTATCTTTCTTGGTTGTATGCAGGCTGCCACAGACACAGCATGATTCATGAACAAACGCAGAGTAACTTTCTCTTGTTTAATAGTAAAACAAGAGCCCACGCTGATCGTCTTTAGTTAAAAAATACAGACGTGCATCTTTCTTCTCTTATAACTTGACTATTACAACTACCGCAGATTTAAGATTTCTCATGGTAAAAGACATGATATTCGAAGTCAGTTTAACACAGATTTTGGAGAGATCTGTCGAGCCTTTTTTAAATGAACAAACATTCATTCATAAGTTTGTACCTAAAATAGGACAAATTGGGTACTCCACAAACACTTGTCTAGAACAAAAACTAAGACACGGAAATTAACCATTCTAACGCAGAATAAATCTCAAGACATTGAGATTTAAGTACTTTGTTGTAATTGTTTGCTGTATGGGATGGGGAAGAAGCTATATCGTTTCAAACGTAGACAAAAATGTGAACTTCTTCACCGACACCGGCAAAGTCGCTTTAGGGGTCATTAACCCCAGGCAGGAAGCTCCAACGGGCTGCTGAGTCACATTAATTCTGGCAAAAAGTGATGCCAGGATCTGCTCTCTACCTAGTTCTTAGAAATTTGATATACAAGAATTTGCCCCCCACCCCGGGGCGGTGCCACTCACTGAAGTGTCTTTAGGCCATTCCCAAAGGGGGGACATTTCTCGTTCAAGCACAGTAGAATTGTAAATGGGCTGATTCATGTCACGCTCATAACTGTGTCTGATCTACAACAGGGAACTACTGCTTTTTCTTTCCTAATCCTTACTATCGTCATATTCCTCTACTTCTTTTGTATGTTTGTCACACTCTTCTCTCTCTCTCTCTCTTACCCTTTTTTAACTCCCAGTGGAGCACAGGCCATCAACAACATTTCTCCAGCGAAGCCTGTCCTGTGCATCATTTTCTAGCTGTTTCCATGGTGTCCCCGCTTTTTCAATTTCCGCTTGTACCGCTCGCCTCCATGTCATCTTTGATCTTCCTTGTCACACTCTTGTGACCCGCTATTTCTGGGGTGCCTTGAAAGTCGAAACAGACTTTGTGGTGTTGAAACTAGAGAGGTGAGCAGAGTAAGTCTGATTCCCTGTAAAGACTTCTCTGTTGACATCCATCCCTTGGCGCTCATATAATTGTATGCAGTTGCGAGCGCCGTAAAACCTCTACAATTTTTTTTTTAAAAGAAAAGATTTTGAGTTTCACAACGTGTCCAGCTTTTTTTCTAATGCAATTTTTCCTTTTTCTATCTTGGTAGCCACTCTGAATAATCTTACCCTTTTGATAGACCAAGTAGAAAATTTGGATTTTGATGTCATGGTCTCAGTAGCTCAAAATGGACAAAAGTGTCAGATAGAACGTTGTAGTTCTGGGGTAGCGACTTGTAGGCACATACGCTATTTGAAACGTTCTCTTTTTGCAGATGTGCCAGGTGCCCCGGAAGACGCTGAGCTGGAGACTGAGGATGTGGAAGAGGAACTCTACCTGGATGAGCTTTACTGTGTGGCTTGTAACAAGGCCTTCAAGAGTGATAAAGCGTGAGTATACTCAATGTTGGGTAAGAATGGCTGTTGCCCAGATTTTTTAGAGAATTCAGATTTATTCAACCTTGGCTGAGAAGTATAAAACTGAAGGGTTATTATCTGTGTAATTGGCAATTCCCAAAGCTGCAGTTGAAAAAGGCCTCAGGTCAGTTGTGTTTCTCATTGATCAACGATATTCTGGCTTCTCTCTCTCAATCTCTCTACAGAAATAATCCTCTCCATTTGGCAGTCAAATCTGTGTCACTTGCAGGCTAGGTGAAAAGCCAAACCTTTGCACCACAGATGTCAAAAACAAAAGCAGACGTATGTTTTTTTCATGGCACAGAAGAGGAAAGATTCGAAGGCCAGTGTATTTCTGTGGCAGAGCGTGGAATACCCAAGGAATTTCTATTTTTTCCTGTACTTTCAATCCTTTTAGGGGCACTCCATTAGTTTACTTGGTAGCATGCTGGACTATGGAGTGGATGGCCCTGCTTCAAATCCCAGAATGGGAGTTCTTGAACTCGGGTCATTTTGTGGAGTTTTCAAGGCTCTTAACCCATTAGGCTCTGTCTTGTCGGAGACGGAAGTTAAACTTTGAGGCCTCATCTCTTAAATAACCTGATATTGTTGATAGGGGCTTTAAACCCATACATTGTACTCAACTAAACTTTTTAAACTAACATATTTTAGTTCATATACAGTGTAGTGTGCGTAAACTGAATATTGTCGCTGTTGCAAGCAATCCGTGTAAGTTAAAATTTTGGAGAATTTTTTATTTTTACATCCTCCAAAAGCTCTATCAAAGATGCACCTCTTTCAATATCATTAGTGGTTTTTTCCTATGGTCAAGGCTCACAATTTTCCTGCTTTTCATAATTCCTGATAGGAATAACAACACAATGAAAATTTGACAGACTTAAGTGAATTGCTTGTGACTCTGATGATACGGTTAATCTAAAAACAGCAGTAAAATGAATGGGAACACCCCCCCCCCCCCAGTAAAATGAATGGGAACACCCCCCCTCCCCCCCCCCAGGAAAATGAATGGGAACACCCCCCCCCCACCCCCCCCTCAATATAAAAAAGAGGAAAGCGGCCCCCCCCCCCCCCCGGGTAAGGAGGTGGCCCCCCCCGCCCCCCCGTGCTTCATTAGGAAAAAGAATAGCAAATCAGAGTGGCGTTGAGTTGAAGAAACTAGGTTGGCCCCCCCCCCCCCCCCCCAATTTTTTCTGCTGTTTGAGAAACCTATCTAAACGGAGAATGTGATTGAACCAAAGAAAATGTGAAAATGTGATTGAACCAAAGAAAATGTGAAAATGTGATTGAACCAAAGAAAATGCAGCACTTCTGCAGGTTTGGATTTAAAAGGACTCCATTGCATTTTATGAGTGTTCAAATTAATTGAGTTCATTGTATTTGTATTTCTTTTTTTCAGGTTCTCTAATCATGAAAAATCGAAAAAGCATAAAGAAATGGTCGCAATACTGGCTGAGGAGGTGAGAATGGAAGAAGAAGCAGAAAATGGGGCGTCAGATGAAGAGGTTGAGGAGGAAGAAAGAAAAGAGGAAGATGTTGAAGAATTAGAGGAGGACCAGCAAGGTGAGCAAAAAAGTGATTCAGCAGAGACAGAGAAAAAAGGCAATGGCAGAAGCACAGAGGAAAGTAATGTTGGAAGTCTAGATCCTGTGCTTTCTGATGAAGAGGAGGAGGATGATCAGAGGCAAAGGTGAGCACATTGTTTGTGTCCTTGGTGCTGAGCTTGTATATATTTTATGGGGTAGGCTCAGAGCAACCTTCTTAGAGAACCTGAACAAATGGGTAAAGGGGAAAGATCAGGGTCATGTAGTTTTTTCAAATGTATCTGAGAAAAGTTCTTGTTATGTTTGTATTGATCCAGACCCGAGGAAAGAAATGAATGGAGAATCATAATTGCCAATGTCTGCCACATATATGGCACTAGAGGATGATGATGTACTCTACTGGGATTTGTCCACACTCACAAGGGAATTAAGTACTTTTTAGGTGTAATATGTGCCAACATCCAGGTCAAATGGTCGCTTTTAAGCACAAGGGGGCTATCCCGGAAAATTCTGTTTTGAGAAAATCGAAGGTAAAGTTTTTGCTTCTTTTTCAGTTTCTTTAAAAAACAAGGAGAGTTTTCTCTATAACCAAACAAATATACACACCAATGAAACCAAACTTCTCCTATAGGTAGGGCAATGCCAACTTTGGTGTAGGTCAAGATTTTTGGAAACCCCCGAAATCTGGGTGAGCCCACTTGTCCTTGAAAGCGCCCCAAAATACAATCCAACCTATCTGAGATTGAGACGGCCTCTCATTGTTTCAACCTATCTGAGATTGAGACGGCCTCTCATTGTTTCAACCTATCTGAGATTGAGACAGCCTCTCATTGTTTAAACCTATCTGAGATTGAGACAGCCTCTCATTGTTTAAACCTATCTGAGATTGAGACGGCCACTCATTGTTTAAACCTATCTGAGATTGAGACGGCCACTCATTGTTTAAACCTATCTGAGATTGAGACGGCCACTCATTGTTTAAACCTATCTGAGATTGAGACGGCCACTCATTGTTTAAACCTATCTGAGATTGAGACGGCCACTCATTGTTTAAACCTATCTGAGATTGAGACGGCCTCTCATTGTTTAAACCTATCTGAGATTGAGACGGCCACTCATTGTTTCAACCTATCTGAGATTGAGACGGCCACTCATTGTTTCAACCTATCTGAGATTGAGACGGCCACTCATTGTTTAGGAGGAAAGTGGCCGCCCTAAACAGGTGGCCATCTTAGGTAGGACGGATCAAAAGGAAGAAAACAAGCCATTTCCTTCTGAGGTCTCCACCGGAGGTGGTTGCTGGCTTAGGAGTGCTGTAAGCCATTTGTTGTTCTGTGCAGGGAGAGCTGAGAGGTAGGTTTTCTGGCTTCTGTCAGTGTTCAGTTGTAGGAAGTGTAGCAGACGAGGTAGACGAGGGGCTCACCTGGTCTAGGAGTACAGTGGTCACCTCTCATGAAAAAACGTCTCAGGTTTACAAGACTAGGTTTCCACTGGTTTGATATTCCAGTGGAAACAAAAAATCATGATAACTGTTGCTTCTTGCTTTCCCCAATGTCTAGAATCACTGCATTTTACATGACATTTTCTGCTTCTGTATTGATAAATGTAAGGACAATTTGAAACAGTTGTAGATTGTCTTTATTTGTAAAATTGTGAAATCCACATGTCAGATGCAATGTAGAAATGACTATAAACTGGAAGCAATACAGATAATAAATGCATCATTTCTACAAGAGTTGGGCCCCTTGAAGATGTCAGAAAATACTCTTGTTTAGAAAGATGTCTTTGGAATAAGCTGGAACAAAAGACACTAAGATTGACAAGAGTTGTGATAGGAAGCAATGTACAATATGAGTTCTGTACAGGAATGGAACATAATATGCAGTTATAATAATGAGTTGCAGCTTCTCCTTTCCAATAATTGGGGAAAGTCTGGCTATTGGAGGACTTTGGAAATAACATGAATGGACATGGATTTCAAATTTCTATTTTTGGTTGATTGTGATGCCTGGCATTCCTTGTTCCGTTATGGAACAGACGAATTTCACCCTCATTAATACTTGTACAATGGCATCTTAAGATAAGTGATAAGCATTACCCCTAACGTATTCATAGCATAAAACTAAAGTGGTAATCTATTGTGTACTATCTCTTCAGTGGGAGGGTTGAGTTGACTCTACAAGAACACCCTTGACTTGTTGTACCATTCCTGTTTACTGACTGAAGAAAAAGTACATTAGTTTTCAAGATGGCAGCTCACATTTTTCACTCGCTGACGATAAATCCTGGCCAGTCTTGTCCTCAAAGTTTTCCCCTTTGTGGAAGTATGTGGAATGTTTGCCCCTTTGGCATATTTACCTGTCATGGTTGATTGTAGCGAGACATGCAAGTGTCTCTGTTCTTTGTGCTATTTCCTTGCTTTAGGAGTTTCCTGTGAGCATTTACAAATTGTTTCATTGCCAGTAGAGGAGCCATTGCTAGATGTGAGGATCCTACATTTTATTCTTATATAGTGTAAAGCGCATAGAGCCTGCTGTTGAGCGGGGATATGCGCATTACAAATGCTATCTATTATTATTATTATTATTTCTGTTGTGGGAAGGATTCAGGTTTTTTTTTCTGCACAGTTGTTAAATTTAGGCTCTAGACTGTTGTTTCTCATGTCCACTTGTATTATTACACCAGTGAAAGAATTCTACTACTTTAGATGAAAAGTCCACTTGTATTATTACACCAGTGAAAGAATTCTACTACTTTAGATGAAAAGTCCACTTGTATTATTACACCAGTGAAAGAATTCTACTACTTTTGATGAAAAGTCCACTTGTATTATTACACCAGTGAAAGATTTCTACTACTTTAGATGAAAAGTCCACTTGTATTATTACACCAGTGAAAGAATTCTACTACTTTAGATGAAAAGTCCACTTGTATTATTACACCAGTGAAAGAATTCTACTACTTTAGATGAAAAGTCCACTTGTATTATTACACCAGTGAAAGAATTCTACTACTTTAGATGAAAAGTCCACTTGTGTTATTACACCAGTGAAAGAATTCTACTACTTTAGATGAAAAGTCCACGTGTGTTATTACACCAGTGAAAGAATTCTACTACTTTACTCTAGATAAAAAGTCCACCTGTATTATGCTGCCTACACTTCATGATGATCCTGACTGAGGCTCAAAATAGCTGTGAAAATATTTGTGATAATGAAGCAGATGAATGGTATGGATCTTGTAATGAGTGATATTTAATATCAGTTTGTCTTGCTTTTTCTTCTTCCATTGAGAAGGGCAAGCAAACCTTGAAATTTTCCCCCTACATATTCTTATGGCACTGTGAATATTGAAGCTGTTGCAAGCAGTCCACTTAAGCCCTATTCTGGAGAGTTTTCGAGTTCTTCACCCTCCCAAGGCTCTATCGAAGATCCAACTTTCAACATCTCCAAAATGCAGTTTAGTGCTCCGGCCAGGCTTACTATGTTCTTTCTTTTCACGGTTTCTGATAGGGACCACCCAACAAAAACTCGTTTGTTGTCTTTGGTGTAAAAAGTACCCACACAGACCTGAATGGATTGCTTGCGACACCGACGATATATATGCACAAGCCGCAAGATGAAATTTTTTTAGATGCCAGAAGCAAAACCTTCAAAATGTACAAGCCTGTGGTTTGCTCTGCAAGGATGGTTTTCATGACCTCAAGTTTAGCCTTTTGTTACCTCCAATTGATATTTGAGAGATCACCATGGTTTGTCAGCCTTGTCCTTTGACCAGATACTAAATTGACAGGTTTTTAGGTATTCACCATAAAAATGATGCGATTGTGATGTATAGCACATTGAATGCAATATGTGAAGTAAAATAACAGAATGTGTTTACAGGTTCGAATAATGACTATTGTTACTTTCTTTAGGAGTAGTTCAAATTTTGGCTTTATGTTCAACTATTTGTTTTGACAAAGGACTCAAATGGCCATAAAGCAAAAATGTCCATCACTGGTACATTCTTATATGACAGTGTCTGTCTTCAGTGTGACATACTATGCACGTTTCTGTCCTACGTGCTACTCTTCATTATGAACCAACATTTTCCGCTCCTTTTTCTGATGTAAACATTTTGTAAAGGGCAAATGGAACTTCATTTAAACCGTTTGCGTAGCTGATGTTGGGGAGGTTTTTTCGCTGTTTTGTTTGTTTGTTGAGGCAGTGGTTGCTCCTGAGTTGAAGGCATCTTGAGGTTGTGAGGAGTTTGGCTGTGCCGGCGCCGGGGACGATGCTGCTGAAGTCGTCAGTTTTCCTGCACGGTTTGTAGGAGCTCCGTTTGCTTTTGTTCCCGCCTTCCCATTTGCTGGGAATGATGAAGATGTTGTTGTTACTGCCGGTAGTGGCTGGGATTTTGTCGTTGTAATGGGTGATGATGGTGTTGTGGAAGGTGGTGCAGCGGTCGCTGTTGTTGCCATGGTGGTGGTAGTGGTTGTCTCCTCAAAGTCTATCTCAGGCGTGGTGGGGACGGCCTGGGTGGTGAACATTTTCCGCACGTTCTCCCAGTAGCGCTGAAACAAGCTGGTGAGGATCTCCTCCATGTCGGAGGCCAGCTCGTGGGAAGGGGATTCCCCAGGCTCGTAGCTCCCGCCGCTGGAGCCGACGTTTTCGTTGATATACCCTCGCGCGCCACCCGGATAGCCGAAAGAAGAGCCTGTTCGCAGGCCGAGGTACGTCATGTAGTTTGGGTATCCTGCGATAGGGCTGTGGTAAAATGTTCGTGGTCGTCCTCCTCTGGGGTAGGACGAGGAACTGCTGTGAAGATTGGACACTTGGGATGTGCCCTGGATGTTCGCCAGGGGAACTTGCAGGGGGTTGTGGTGCAAGTCAGCCTGCTGTGGCCTTCCTTGATCGCTGTTTGGGGGAGACAGATTTGCCATTTGCTGTGGTGTGTCTCGGTAGGTATTTGACATGGAGTAGTCATGCGGGTTATAGTTTTGTGAGCTGTATGGGTTGACTCCACTTTGTGCTGTGTTTGTGGATGCTCTCGAGCCCATGTTGTTATAGCCGTTTTGTGCTGTGTTTGTTGATGCTCTGGAGCCCATGTTATAGCCGTTTTGTGCTGTGTTGTCCTGGGGCGAGTAATTTGGGTCAAAATTTAGGTGTGGGTATAAATTGGGTTGTGGGTTCTTGGTGTTATACATGTTGTTGTTGATATGTTGTTTGTCCTGTGTGAGTCCTGTGTTGTGCTGCGAGCTCGAGTACTGACCAGTATCGTAGTGGGTGCTGTGAGGAACGTTAGAGTCGCCGCCTATCTGAGTTGCGGGATTGAGGATGTCTGTTGGAAATGATGGGGATGCCGATGGGTTTGAAGGAAAAGGGATATCTCCAGTATTTAGGGCTGGAGCGTTCTGTGAAAGGTGGTTGTAACTGGAGGGGTCTTGTTGCTTGGGAGCGGGTGGGAAAAGGTTGTTTATGAACTGGTCCCAGAAGACGTGAGCAGTCTGTCTTTTATCCCTCACCAACTTGGAGTTTGTCAAAGTTTGTTCAAGGGAGATGGAGCGTGTCGTTCGTCTTGCAGACCTCTTTGATATACCATATTGAGACTGGTGTAACTGATGAGGCGGCGAAAGTCGCAACTGTTTTCTCCTGGTAGAGCTTCGGAAGCGTTGATAAAGGTTGAGCACAGGGGAGGTCTTGATCTGCGGTTGTTGACCTTGCTTTGAGGCTGGGTCACGGACGACGTTGTAGGCAGGTGGTAGGACGCTTTGATCTTTCTCCAAAGGGCCTGTGGAATCGTTTTCATCACTGTGGCTGCCGCCATCATCATCCTCGTCATCATCCTCGTCATTGTAATCATCCATATAATCGTCACTTTCGCTGTTGTCGTCGTCTGTATTGACCTCATCTTTGTCCTCGTCCGTGTCCTCTTCTTCAAGTTCATCACTGTTCTTGTCAGACTTCTCGCTGGAGTCGACGTGAGAGTCGGGGCTTTGGACAAAGTCCTTGTCCCTGATGTTGCTGTCGTCATAGTCAGCTGGTGCCACTTTTGTCTTGTGACTTGCTTCATTGGTGATATCATTATCGGTCCCAATGTTTTCAGCTTTGCGGCCATGATCCTTATTATCAGTGGTATTGTCAGCATGCGCCACAGATTTGATTTGACTTGCGACGTTTTGCATATCAACGAGAGACGGCTCGTCCTGTTTGTCTTTCTGGTCTTCTTCATCGCTTGTCTCATAACTGTCATATTCATCGTCGCTGTCTTTACTCAGCGATGTATCAATAGAGGAACTGGTGTCGTTCTCACTGCTATCGTCAATGACGTCGTAGATTGCTTCTGTGTGGTAATCGTCTCTGTGCAAACCGTGGGCATCTCTCACGTTAGATGTTTTGCCATGATTTTTGTTATTGTATTTTTCATCGTCGCTGTGATCTTTGCTGTCAATCTCTTCTTCTGTGTAGTCATCGCCCTCCACATTCCTGGTGTCTTGTCCTACGTCTGCAGTCATGTCATTTAGCTTACTTACGACTTCATGGGTGTTTTCTTTATCCAACCGAGTCTCTTTTTTGTGATCTTGTTCATAATCATCGTCGTTATCTGAATCATCGTCGTTATCTGAATCATCGTCGTTATCTGAATCATCAGCAAGGTTCCAGTATGGGTTGTCAAGAAGCTCTTCCTCCCCGTCACCGCGATTGTTGTCTTCGGAGTCTTTTCTGTCCGTACCATACTCGTGGGAGTCATCCTTCACCTCATCGTGATGGAGCAGATTCTCTTCCCCATCGATGTCTTTGGATGGTTGAGGGGTAACAACTCCAACAAGTTCCCTGCCTCTGTTGCTGATCTGTCTCATGTCCTCCGCCAGCCGCGCGTTCTGTGACAGTTGCTGTAATGCGTCCAGAAGCCAGGCCCAGTCTGTTGCGCGATTAGCGGAACTGCCGCCCATCAGCTGTTTTAGCCACGCCCAGTCTAAGGCTGGCGTTGCTCCCCTGTGAACTTCTGTGCCTCGACGTGCTGGGCCTTCTAGGTTGTCCTGCTGGTTTGTGCCCAGACCTTGTCGAACGTCTCCCCTCTCCCGTTGACTGGGAGAAGCAGAACTGCTGAATATAGGTGTGTCTGTTGTCGCCGTTGTTCGTCTGAACGCCGGACTCAGGCTAATTGGAGTTATTGGGTCTCCTCTTTCTTTCCCTTCCACTCTCGGCTTTAAATTCATTTCCCCGATCTGCTTGATTCGGACGGTACTGGCGTCTTTTTCTTTTCTGTTTTTAATAGCCTGTGGGATTGTTCCCAGTCGTCCTGAGCTATGGTTTTTGCTTCGCCCTGGACCTTTACTTCTCCCAGACGCCTGGCCCAAGACGAGATTCTCGTTGACTTCATTGGCGTCATGTGTCGGCTTCATTGTGCTCCTCCCTGTGGCTGGTGGTGGGGCTGTGGTCATCTCCAGTTCGGGGTGTGCAGCAACACTGGGCGTGTTATCCTGAAGGCCAGATTTTGGTGTTGAGAACATTCCTGCAGACCCGGGTATCGAGGTAATACTTGTCTGAGGTGCAGCCGATGCTACAGGCTGTCGCTTCTGCTCGGAGTTCTGTGGTGGTGGGGACGACCTGGGCTTCGAAGGATAGGAAATAGAAGCCGTTGGAGCAGGTCGTGGGTACGGGGTGTAGTCTTGGCTCAGGTCATGACCTCCGCTGAAGGCTGGGATCCATACCATTTTGTTGAGCTCGTCCACCACTTTGTTGGCCGAGACCCCCGTGGTTCTGGATGATCCGTCCAGCCCATCTCGTTGCTGCTGCTGTTGCTGTTGTTGTTGTAGCTGATGATGCTGAAGAAGTTTGGCACTCAAGTCGCGCAGAAGCGCGGCGATCATCTCGTCGTAGTCTGGGCTCTGAGTTTTGTCCCAAGCTGCAGGGGTTGTAGAAAATGTGGCCTCTACCTCTTTATTGCGATTGGGACTAAATGTTGTCGTCCGTTCTCCGTGCGTGGTCAATGGGGGGTCAGCAGTGGTCGGTGTGGGGTTGGCCGAAGTGACACTTTGAACGATCTCCATACCTAATGTATGGCCGTCAGTCGCAGTCTGTTCACTTTTTGAAAGCGACAACGTACTTGAGAGCACTTTGTTAGATGGTGATGTTTTTGGTTGAAAAGTGTCGTTGGTCTGGGAAGAATTTGTGTTTTTTAAGATTCCCACTGGTGGCTTTGGGTCTGTTTTGCTATTGGTCTTCTCTTTCAAGTGTGGGTTTGCAGTCTCGTGTGTACTGTTGCTGTTAACCACGCCCACTTGGCGGCGCTTGCGAATATCCGGGACGTGAGATTTTCTCGTCCTTTGGGGCGTCTGGGATCTCGTTTCTGGTGCTTGGCCTAGTATTTCTGGTGCTTGGCGTAGTGTTTCTGGTAAGAGGCGTTGACTTTCAGGGTCTGTGGGCGGGGCTTCTGGGTGTCCGGGCGGTGGTTCTGGTCTGACTGACGAAATCACGGGTGTCTGATTCGTGGCTTCTTGGGACGACGAGGTGCCTCCTGCGTTTGTTTGTATCAAGTTGTTGATCTGGAGAGGAGAATGTTGACTTTATTTGCGCAGTCTTTCAGTCTGTCATTCCATAGACCGGGCAGATCCGTTAATAATTTGTTGACACACGTACGCACGCACACGCGCGCACACACACACACACACGCGCGCACACACACACACACACACGCACACACATACACACGCACACACACAT